TTGGTCAATGACATGAGACAAAGTATATGTGAACTGCTGTATGAAAAGTGAATTTACTCTGTAAATCTTCACCCAAATCCTAATTTAAAAAAAAAAAAAAAAAAAGCATCAACTCTTATTCCATCTTCCTATTTCATTGTCCAGCTTTCACATGCATACGAAGGTATAGAAATACCATCACTTGGGTTAAGTGCACTTTAGTCAAGTGCACTTTAGTCTTCAGAGTGACATCTTTACTCTTTAGCACTTTAAAGAGGTCTTTTGCAGCAGCACAACAAGTGTCGAAAAGAAAGCAGAATAAAAGCATAGAAAGTAAGGGGAATGCTGTAATAGACCAGGTGGTCAGGAGGAGCCTCTCTGAGGAAGTAACATTCAAACAATGACTTTGACTTGCTGTTGTTATTCCTATGGTTTATTGTTTTTCAAAACAATATCTCCTTCAAAGAAGTCTTTAAGAACTATAGGATCACTTTGCAAAGAAGTTTTTTAAAATCTTTTTTAAGGACACCAAAATCTTTATTTTTATACGTTAGTGATTTGCTTTCTGTAGATAAATTATGTTCCTCCAACTCTACTGGAAGCCACACAAGGACTAAGAGCTGGGTTCATTCAACATTTTGTTAAGCACCTGCTATGTGCCATCACTGTTCTGGGTGCCGTGCCTGGCATTTTTAAGCATTTTTACAGCATTCATTCCTACTTCTGGTTGTAAATATCCCAGGAAGCCCTCTAGCTCCTAAGCAGCTGTCCAATATCATTCCTTGCTCACTGATTTAAGGACTTGAATTGGGGAAAATTCCCCAGTCTGTGGTGAGGTGTTGTCTCACTCTGTTTATAGGGATGAAAATAAGACAATGAAGCAAAATCATTCTAAACTCTTTAAATTTAAAAAATATATATATTCAACTAATATTTATTGATCACTGTGTTAAGCATTTTTGTATTTATCTATTTTGGTCCTTGAAGCAGTTTTATGAGGAAGGTATTATTATCCCCAGGGGAGGCAGGCTTTGGAGACAGACAGCACCACTCCCTATGTATATCCTTCGGTATGTTACCTAATCTCTCTGAGGCACAAGTTTCCTTTTTGTCATGGTGGAAATGTTGACACATAACCTTGGAGGATTGTAGTAAGGATTACATGAGGTAACAAAGGTAAAAAAAAAAAAAAAAAA